AAAAAAAAAAAAAAAAAAAGGATAAAAGCAGGGATGGGAACAAGCCCCCCAGTGCAAGCCTCCCCAGGGCCACCCGAGGATAGTTCAACAGCTGGGCAAGGAAACAGGGTAATGGCCAAAAAATGCCGACATATTTCTGAAAAAAGAAACGACAAAGTAAAATGCACTGTGTTTTAAGGGGAAAATGTTCTCAGGGCGCCTGGGTACCTCATCCGACTCTTCATTTTGGCTCAGGTCATGATCTCACAGTTTGTGAGCTCGAGCCCCCCATCGGGCTCACCACTAACAGCACAGAGCCTGCTTGGGATTCTCCGTCTCTCCGTCTCTCTCTGCCCCTCCCCTGCTCGCACTGTCTCTGTCTCTCTCAAAATAAGTAAATAAACTTTCAAAGAAAGGGTAAAATGGTCTCACAAATGACTGAACTCCATAAATATTTCAACAAATACTTACAGAGCCTTCTGTATGCGGATTGCTGTGTTGCTCAGCGCTCGGTATACAAGGAACAAATGATAACAGTGACAAGGACCACAGCCACCCTTCACCGAGAGCTTCCCACTGCGTGCCAGACACGACTCTCAACACTTGCTTACGTTTCCTAACCCAGTCCTTGCAATGGTGCCACAAGGGAGATGCTAAGATTTCCCCCATGCTATAGATGAAGGACAGGGGGCATGTGGCCCCTGACCCAAGAGTCCCCTAGCAGGAGAGGGAGGCAAGGGACCCAGCGAAGCAGCTTCGACACCATGTACATGCTTCAGGCAAGACCCCAGGTAGCGTGACGATGCTCAGGTGAGGGTTTAGATCCTGACTTCACCTCTCTGCGCCTCTGTTTTCTCACCTCTACACTGGGGATAGCATCACCTACCTCACGGGATTGTTTTGAGGGTCTAGTGAGCCAACACGTAGAAAATACCCACCCCGGTTCTGGTTTTGGCACTGATGGAGTGTGTCCATGGTGGCACCCTGTCGTCCCCACTGGGGCTCCCCAAAACTCTGGGAAAAACACAAAGGCAGCTGCCTGAAGGTTCAAAGAATGTAAGTTAACAGCAGGGTGATAGGGGACAGAGATAAAAACGTGAAGAATGACAATTATATGGCAAATGATGCGTTTCCTTCGATTCCCACCCCTGCCTTAAAAGCGGGCAGAACTGTGCACGAGGGTGGGGTGGGGAGTCGATGTTCCAGGGCAGCCCTGCCTTCCACGCAGAGCAGCCCAAAACGAGTCCCTGCATACAGAAGAATGTGAAGAGAATCTTCCTTTTTTTTTTGTTTTGATTCCCTCTCTCTCAGCCCTGCCC